TCCACTGATATCTAAAGAATAACTCATTGGATTTTGATGAAACTTGGCACACAGATGCTCCAGACTAATGCACAGATTTCATTAGTTTTGGGTAAAAATCTGTGCAATATTAATCACCTATTTGCATAATGATTAATAAATTTTCGGCTTTTCCACTGATATCTCAAGTAGTAATCATCACATTTCAATGACACTTGGTATATAGATGTCATAGAACACTGCACAGACCTGATAGTTTGTAGGGTAATATGAGTACTTATTAATTAGCTATTTTGCATAATTAATTAATTTTCAGCTTTTGATATTTCAAGTAGTAATCATCACATTTCAATGAAATTTGGTACATAGATGTCATAGGATACTGCACAGACATGATAGTTTTTAGGGTAATATGAGTACTTATTAATTACCTAATTTGCATAATTAATTAATTTTCAGCTTTTGATATTTCAAGTAGTAATCATCACATTTCAATGAAATTTGGTACATAGATGTCATATGATACTGCACAGACCTCATAGTTTTTAGGATAATATCAGTACATATTAATTACCTAATTTGAATAATTAATTAATTTTCAGCTTTTGATATTTCAAGTAGTAATCATCACATTTCAATGACACTTGGTACATAGATGTCATAGGACACTGCACAGATCTGATAGTTTTTAGGGTAATATGAGTACATATTAATTACCTAATTTGCATAATTAATTAATTTTCAGCTTTTTGCCTGATATCTCAAGTAATAATCACCATATTTCAATGAGACTTGCTACATAGATCTTCTAGGACTATGCAGAGACCTGATTAGTTTTAATTGGATATAAATTACCTAATTTGCATAATGTTCCACTGATATATAAATAACCCCGAATTGGATTTTAATGAAACTTTTAAAGAGAACTATGCAGAGACCCAATTAGTTTTTGGTAAATATTTATGCTTATTAATCACCTAATTAACATAATTAACACTGATATCTCAATTACTGATCATCACATTTGAATAAAATTTGGTACATAAATGCTCTAGGACAATAGACAGGCCTGATTAATTTTGGGTTAAAATTTGTTCATATTAATTCTCTAATTAGCATAATAATTCATATTTTTTTTGTTCTGTTCTGTTCATATTAGATACCTGATTTACATGATTAGTTTTCAGCTTTTCCATCAATATCTCTTGTACAAGTAATTTTTAATGTGTCTTCAATACTCTCAGCACACGGGAGTTCTTTCTAAGCTTTCTTTGATTCTTACTGGTGTGGCTACAGTGACTGTGAAGTGTTTTTGTTTTGTCGATTGTTGTCAGTTGTTTGTTTTGTGTTCTTGGAATTTTGTCAAAAAAATCAACAACGGTTAAATAGGTATGTTATTTCCATTTTGCAGTATATCGTAAACAGTACTTGTATACTTTGTTATCCAGCATAAATATCAGATTGTTCGGAAGAATGAGATTGTAAATTTCGTTCATTAATCTTGTAAGATGACGCTTTCTCCGGGGCCTTCAGAGTCCCATGTTGACTATGTTCCTTTACTCACTTGTTGTCAGCGTCTGAGTGGTATATACAAAATACGACCAAGTAAACGTCAGAATATTAAAAAAACAGAAACCTAAAAATCAGTTGCCCATGCCAAGAGAGCCGC